AAGCCTCCATAATACCTTAAGGGAATGCTTAAACTAACTAGAAAGCTACAATATTTAATAACTGGATGTAAAAAAAGAGGCAGAAAAACCTAGATCATGTCTGGAAAATAAGATTTTTTTAAAATACCAAAGGCAGAGTCGTGTAACTAGTAAAATTGTGACCGCATTTGTTTATTAGACACAGAGGTCCATTATGCTATGGTCAATTAAGCTATAAGCAAGAACTAAAGGCTTAATACCTCCCTTGCAACATAATTCCAAGAGACTCTAACACACCAGTTAGATATATGCCCCTGGCTTTCTATGTTATTTTGTTGTATTGATGATTAAACACTGGCAGACTACCAGCAATTCAACATTGGCAGTGCTGGCAGATAAAAAAATGGAACTATCCAAAATAAAGTTATTAAGAAGACACAAAACCAAACCAATATAGATTAAGATGCTACAGCTCTGTGGAGAGAAACTGTCTTCTTAAATAATGTTTTGAAACTAAGTATCTAATATGTATTAACTGCAGATGGAGACTGGACAGAGCAGGAAGAGAAACTGACCACTGATGCCCAATAACACATTTAAGAAAACAAGTATTTAGTTTAATAGAAAAAATGATGGAAAGGGAACAAAGGAAAGTCATATAGTAAGCAGCTTCCCCACTTTCATGTCAGCAATATTTATGTCATATGACATTTCAGCAGATGTCTACTCAAGCTGCCAAACCACTCAAACCTAAAGATCACCAATTTTGACTTGAGTCATTAGGAAGTGCCTCAGTTACATCAGAACACTGATGAAATTGGGTGCCCTACCAATTGCTTGTCAGCAAGCACCTGGAATAACAGAAATCCCAGTGTTACCAAAGAAAACAGAAGTTGAAAATCTTGTCAGTTTTACTTAAGTTTTACTTAAGGTGGAAGACATCTGTACAGTCAAAAGTTTTACCTGGGATGAAGATACTCCAGAAGAACATAATGCAGGTATTTCCCATTTTCTCAATTATAAAGAGCCCTTGTGAATTCCAGTCTCAGGAACTACGCATTAATATATAAATACATAATAATTTACTAATAATTTAGTCAATATTTTCTTTTACCTTCACTGTCTACTGAAACACCTTACAACTTTACTCTTGCCTATCATTTAAGTTTAGTCTAAAAAACCAAACACATTTGTTTCTTCATCAAGATTTCAGTACTGTTAAACACTACAGTATTTTGATCCTTCACAAACATTTCTGCATATTACAATATCGTTAATAGGAAAGAAAAAGTGTAATCTTCATTGTGCTAAGAGGAAACAAGTTACATAAAGATAATGATATTTGCAACTTTTTATTTCTAGATCAAGACACAGGCTTTTAAGAATAGATATTTATGTAGATAATTACTTGTTTTAAACGGATCTTCTACTGACTTCAACTGCAAGAACAGTACATAATATATATGCAAGTCAGACTTCACACTCAACATCAAAAAAAAACTTAAAAGAATGTATGTAGAAATTTGAGTCAACAAGACCAGTAGCAGCAGTGACAGGATTGAGTTCTTCAAAGGCAGCATTCAGTTATTTTCTTCTTAGCTACACTGTGATAGGAACCAGTCCTTAAATTCACACGGTTCTTTTTCAGGGACCACTACGTTCCTTAGTATGATTTCAATTTCAGTACACTGAAAAACTGAAATTTTCCAGTTGACAAAACTGAGTTCACCGATGAGAGAGAAGAAAAGTAAATTCTTGCTTTGGAGTCCTGCTGGGAATTACTCTACATTTGTACTCTGATTTTTGACATTAGGGAATCTCCAGCTGCTCCCATTGCAGAAAAAAAAATTAACAAAAGGACTCCCCAAAGCATGCTTTGGTTAACTTAAAAGCAAAACTTCAGGTAAGTGATGTGTATTGTGAAAGATACTTTTAAAAGTCTTGAGTTGAGTATATTGCAGCACCATCATTTCAAGTCACATGTTTGTATACTCTGACTCCAAAGGGACAGTTTCTTTGATTGATCCCACATTAAGATTACATGTGAAAGTCTTTCTCATGGAACAATTTTTTCAAGATGTTTACAAAACCCAGAAAAATACAGTACTTTAGCATATGGCATTACTAACAGAAACAGAGAAGCCATTAAAAATTACTTTGTTCAGTATAAACATAATGAAAATCCCAGAGGCCTGACAACTATTTACATTAAGTAAATTTACAAGGTAACTGTTCCAGAATCAATTTCTCTAAAGTGATGTCAGAATGTTGAGATCTTTTAAGCAGAAAAGGCCAACTGACTGCTCGTATGACCTAAATCCAAAAGAAAAGAAATTAACTACACTGTAAGTAAAAGTCCATGTTGCCTGGACTGGTCCATCATCATTTGAAAGTGATTTGAAATATTTTTTATAATGAAAAAAATTACCAAGGTGCCAGGACTCTGAAAACAAAAATTCAGAAATGCCAGCTGCTTCCTAAATGCACTTAACAGCAACTTCTCAAATCCTTACTGCAATGCATATTCCCAGAAATCTGTCAGGACAATGAAGTTGCATAAAAGTTTAGGTGTTCTGGGTTCAGTCCCCATATACTTGCACAGTATCATCTACTAGTACATATCACTGGAAATCCTAAAGCTCACACATATGGCCACAACACAGTCATCAGGGAGAAAACAACTTCAGAATTCTTTTAACTCCATATTTAAATAATCCTTTAACCCAATTTTCCAACTTGTTTTGTTATTTTAAACACCTATACGTGCATTTGTGAATGGAATAAACATAAACATGTCATGGAGCTGTGGAATTACCATACTAGAATTTATGCTCATATTCAATGCAAACTGATTCTTACTTCTGACACACTTACTTCCTTTTGGAAGCAAACTATACAATGTTATTTTGAATTCAAGCAAATACTAAATACTGATTCACAACAGGCTACTAATGGAGAGTCCTATATATGTATATTTGTGTATATGTGTGTGTGTGTGTGTGTATAAGAAAGTCCCTTTATTTAATCACTTCTTCCAGCCAAAAAGAAATGGACTAAATGCAAACAAATATAACAGTATGTTATATGAGCTTCATTTTAAACCAGTACAGATGTTCTGCTTCAGATTTCCTGCAACTATTCATTTAAATTTGTAGTACATTTAAAAATTCTCACTTCTAGTAACTTTCTATTCCCCAACTTCTCTAAACCCTCACAAATTTCTTTTTGAAAATTTTTCAATAAATTATAAGATGTCAAATTCTCTTGCTGTTTCGAAGTGTTTTCACCAATTTTTAATTAATTTCACCTACAAATGATAGATATAGGTTCAGAAATGCTAAAACAACACTTCATGAGATACAGGAACACAAAACAGCAATTAGAAAAAAACATTTTAAGAAGAACTTGGATTTTTCCCCATATGCTTGTTTCAATTAAGTGTGGCATATTTCAAGGAAAATCCATTCAACCTCCTCAAAATGAAATGGATTTTGACATACAATCAGGAATAGATACAGACCAGCCCCCTCTAGTATACAAAATCCTAAAAGTCAAAAAGGTTAGCAATTACAAATTAATCTCCTGCACTCACACACTGTTGAATCAGGAAGCTGAATTCATTATTTTTAATGAATGACTGTCTTTTGACCAACTAATATACTGCTCTGAATTATGTGTTCATCATCCATACTCCCTTTCCAATCCCCCTTTTCCCTCAAATCCTGCCTACATTACTGCTCCAAAACAGGGATTTTTTTTTTTTTTGTAATTAAAAATCATTTCCTTTTGTGGCAAATTATATCCTTATTAAAAACAAAGGATCTAAAAGCCTCAGAACACTATTAAAAGAGTAGATGAAACAAGCCCCCGAAAGTCTTAAAATTAAATTGATATGATAACATCAGTTTTACTCGCTTAAGCCACTGCAGCCTACTCTGTCAGAACAACTACGGGAAATACGTCTAAGTCTAGGGGAAGAGGTGGTGAGAAGAACAAAACTAACCAAACAAACCAAAACAAACTAAGAACAAGGAGCACTAGGGCATATCTTAAACCTGACACTGGGTGAATTATTATTAAGCATTTTTAAGTTCATCAGTACAGAGGAACACGTCAAATGTTAAAAGAATAAGCCTTTAAATGGGAATAATTTTGCACTAAACATTCACACGAAACATACACCAGCATCCCCAGTGCACAAATAACAAAGTCAATTTATTTGATAAGCTGCCATAATGCTTCCCTCACATCTTATACATCCTGCATCCTCTTGTTTATTTCCCTCAGCATATGCCACAGAACATCCAATGTGCAGTTTACTGACCAACATGGTCCTATCTCTTCTTCTCCTTTCCTTCAATATACTTGAATTTACTAATTTTATTTTGGCCATCTTGTCTATTTTCAGTTCCTGTGAATGTTCACTGCAGATGTAAGAATCTGCACATATAGAAAAGACTATGGTAAGGACTTCCTTTTAGTATGAAATGTGTACACTTTTCTGCATATTTCTATCTGAATGGACACCTTAAGTTTGTCTATTGTAAAAAAAAACAATTAAAACCAGAACAGATTATCTTTTTGCTTTAGGTTCTTACTCACCGAGTAGAATTAACCTCAAGAAAAAGTCAAGTTCCTAAGTCCAAAGCAAACTATTATCTAGACTTGTTTGAAACAAAATGGCTTTAGATTCTTCTTGTTTCAATACTAAATACAGTGAATATTCCAAAAATTATCCCTACACTGCAGAACACAGAAGCAATAAATACAGTTAATGAAGTCTTCAGAAAAGCTACTCAAATGTTTCTACCAAAACTTGTTTCACAATCATTCTGCTGTAAAAAAAATAATCACAACTGAATTATTGATTACCAGTTATCCAATCAAATCACTCCCTTCAAGAGGCTCCAAGTCCCAGCAGACTCACTACAAGCATTCTGCCTCCTATATGATATTAAATGAGCAACCATAAACCAAAAATGAGATAATTCTGAGCCGAGGAGATGAGAAAGCATATTTACCTGAAGCATCTCCAACTTTAAAATCACTGTCATCAGAGCTATCATAATCTAAAGCTTCCAGCAGCGAAGCTGCCAAAGGCTTCACCTGTCTCCTCTTCGAACTGCGGTCCACTGCAGGGAAAAAAACAGTGTTGTTACTGGGTGGCATAAAGAGAATTCAGCATCGCTAAGGGCATGTAAATTACAAGGCGGCACGGGCGTGACAGGCAGGGGCAGTCCCGAGAGCAGCCGACAGATGCGGCGCACCGGGGTCCCGGGGACACCCGCTCCCACAGGTGAGGCAGGGCAGGGTCCGCCCTCCCGGCGGAGCGCTGGTGCTCCCTGCAGGCGCCGGGACCCGCACGGCACCGCTCACCGCGGGCTGCCCGCAGCCCCGGCAGGGCTGGGCGGGCGCTGGGGCCGCCAGACGCCCCCGGAGCAGGCAGCATCCCCCGAGGACGCGCCGCGGCGTGATCCGCCAGCGACCAGACGCGGGGAGGGGGATCCGCAG